AAAAAATTTCATCTGAGAATTATAGCACAGGCCGAGAACCCACATGGGTTTTAGATTTTAATTTATGTGCAAGTCCAAGAAAACTTTACTCTGAGGGTCTTGACAGAAGCAACGGTAAAATTGCTTTGCAGGGATGTTCCCACAACACAGACCACAAGAAGTTTTCACAGAATTTTTTTAAAGCCCATTTAAAAAGATACTGCAATTAAAAAAAAAAACTACAAGAATAAATTGTCTACTGTGAGAGTCAGTGGACACAATCACCAGCAAGATTAGAACACTGAGAATCGTTGAGCTGGGGGATATATTTGAGAAAATCACCTAGTTTTTAGAACAAATAGATAAAAAATATGACAGACTAAAATACATGGAGGATAGAATGAAAGATCCAATCTTAATCTAAGAGGAGTTCCAAAAGGAAAATAGAGAAAATTGGAGAAAGGTAATATTCAAAACACAATGACTGCAGATTTTCCAGGACTGATGAAAGATTTAAAAAGCACAGTGCAAAGTAAAATAAATAAAATTAAATCTATATCCAAACATATTATAGTCAAACTGCAGAACACCAAAAACAAAGAGAAACATCTTTAAAATTACCAGAGAGAGAAAAGACAGATTACCTTCAAAGGAACAACAATGAGATAGACAGCAGAATTTTAAATTACAAAATATAGGCCAGAATACAGGTAAATAATATCTTCAAAGTTCTGAGGGAAAACATCTGTCAACCTAGATTTCTAAACTCAGCTGAGTTATTATTCAAAGATGAGGGCAAAAAAAAAAAAATCCAGAAGTGAACTGAGAGAATCAAAAACTTACAAACCCTTGCTGAAAGGAACACTAAAGTATGTACTTCAGCAAGGAAGTACTGATGTGGAAAAGAGAGTACTGAGCAAAGAGATTAGTAAACATGTAGGTAGATGTAAAAAGCTTTGGTTGTAAAAAAAAACAAACAATAATGAAGATGATGAATGATTCAGGGATATAAAAACAAAGTTGAAAAGGCATGGTTTAGATAAAATTTTCTAAGTCTTTGAATTGTTTTAAGCAAGGGTAGAACTAATGAGAAACATTAGACATTTTGAGTAAAAAACAACCCCCCCCCCAAAAAAAAAACATATGATGTAACTTCCAAACTCATAGGAAAAAAGTAATTTAAAAATTGACTAATGGGGAAAAAGACAAGAAAGGAGGGGAAAAAAGCACAGAAAAAGGAAAATAAGAGAAAAATCCCACAATAAGGTGATTCAAATAAATCCAAATATATCATCAATCACAATAAATGTGACTGGACTAAAACTTGTGAGTGCAAAGACAGAGTCTTGGTTGCATTTAAAAATCCAAACTTTAGCTAATTTCTCTTCATAAAATCATACCCAAAACATATGTGCATGGAAAGTGATGGAAAAATAGATGCTAGGCAGGTGCTAATTAAAGTCAATGCAGTTATGTTAATGTTAAGCCAACAATACTTTAAAACAACAAATATTAGAGATAAATTGTGTCACAACATATTGATTAAAGTAATAATCTATCAGGAAGATATAGCAATTCTAAATCTATATCTAGATATATTTCCTCAAATTATATAAAGCGAAAATTGACAGAATGATAGAGGTACCAATAAGTCTATCATCAGTGGTAAATTTTAATGTACCTCTCCATCTTTATAGAGAAAGCAGACCAAATATGAACAAGAACATAGGCTTGAGCAATTTTTAAAAGGCTTGAATTGATATTTATAAAATTCTGTTTTATATTTATTAAACTCATTCTTTAAAAATATACATAGATCATTTATCATACCTTTATTACAATGCAATAAATTTAGAATTCCCCTAATCAAAAAGATAATAAAAAATACACATGGAAATTAAAAGAAAGTAGGTTATGAAACCAGTAGATGCAATATCATCCCATTTTAAGAAAAAAATAATATTTGTGTTATACATTGTGTAAAAAAGATTGAAAAGAGGTACTAAAAATGATGAGTGATTATTTATGGTTTCTTAGTTTATTGGTGATTTTTAGTTTTGCTTTATTTTTAAAGAACTCTTCTGTATTGTTAAAGTTTTATGCTTGGAACATGTGAATGTGTATTTTTTTTAATGAGAAAAAAATCAATGATAAATGTTACTTAGAATAATGTATAAAATAATACCTTGCCTGGGTTATAGCAATAGCTTTCTAAGTGGTCTTTCCATTTCCATTCTTGCCTCCTAAACATTCTTTTCCCTAAAGCACTTAGAATAAAATCTAAATTCCTAACTTTAGCCTACAAAGTTCTACATGACATTGCTACAGACTACACCTCTAAATTTATCTCCAGTAACACTACTCAGGTTCACTCTATTCTGACCACACTGGCTTTTGTTTCCTTGTACTCTCCAAGTTCTTTCCAGCCTGGATTTGCTACCCTTTGCACCTAGAAGCCCTACTGTTCTCTTTTCCCCAATACTCTCTTTTCCTGGCTAAGTCCTACGTATTCTCCACGTTTTAACTGAATTGTTAAATCCTTATGAAACCTTTTTTCTGCTCTCCCTCCCTCTCCAGACTAGGTTTGATTTCTCTGATATTCTCAAAGCACCCATTTTTTACTTCATAGCAGGAACAATAAACTTGAAAATTTATGTTTATGTGTTTACTTGGTTATTGTTTGTCTCTCTTGCTAAACTGTTTGTTCTGTGAGGACATCTGGTTTGCTAATTGCTATATCCTTAGTACCTAACATAGTGCTGAGTGAATATTTGTGGACAGAATGCATAAATGAGTGAATGAATGAATGAATCCTCACAAACGCTACTGGAAATTATGGAACCAAAAGTGAAGTAAAGAAGTTCATGAAAGAGAAGTCTAAGGGTATGCCACAATCGTGGTTTTAACTTCCAGGTCTCCTGGTAATGGCTAAGATTCATTGAAAAATACTGACAAGATAAATTTCCTTTAGTATTCTTTTTCTACATTTGCTTTAGTGGACTATTTCTCTTTGAAAGTAGCAGGTCCTGTAAGTTAGCTCAAAAACAAAACAACAATAACAAAGTTGCTACTTCAGAGGCCAAGGACAATGAAGTAGGATGATTTGTAGATGGGTATAAATTAGTGCATCGCATTTCATTGTCTTGAAGCTCTGTTTCATTATATGATACAGTAGCACATAACCAAAGTCCAGTTCCAGTTGTCCTAGATATGCTCTATCTTCTCTTCCAGGGGCAACTTGTACACATTCAGTCAGCTTGAGTAATAGTGGTCTCCATAATTAGGGCCAGTACATAGGAAAAAGAGATAGATTTTCCCACTGACTCACTGTTGCTTTGCTAGAGAAGAAAAATATTGGTTACTGCTTAAGTTTGCTCCAGAGTTTACACTTTAGGGTATAATCTTAAATTCTCAGAATACAGCCTTTGAAAAAGATGCTAAGAAAGCAAAGTAGGACACTTGATATTGTGACATCATGGACTTAAATTCACAGATACTAGCTTCTTTTCAGTAAATCCCATCCTCAACTCTTGCTCCCACAGAAGAAGGACGTGGTGGTAATTTCGATGTCAAATTCTCCACAAAAGCTTGGTGTTTTAACATAACCACTTTTTCTAACATCTCAGTCTTTTCCTTTGATTTGATATAGTCACAAACTAGATCCTTGGTAGTTATCTACATAATTAAGTCTAGAAAATATCTACTTGAGTATTTAGTCCTTTAATAGTTCACATAGAAGTGTTAAATATTTTGCAGTTGTTCATCTATTTTCAAAATTTACTCCCAGGTAACTCCATAGTTCTACAATGATGTGTTAGGCCAAGTCTCAGAAGATTTAAAATATAATTTATTCATAAATAATTCTGAAATAAACTTATGCAATGCAGTATAGAAGAGGTAGGGAGCATTGGTATAATTCATAAAAATAGGTATGTCCAATTAAGAACACAGATAGGAAATGAGAGAGATCAGGATTTGTAAATGCATCACACTTTTCTTTATATTCTTTTTAAATGTCAAGGATTCAATTACTAAATATAAACACAGTTCCCCAAAAGGCATTGTTAATAATTATTAGCGCACAAAAGGAAAAATATTTTTAACCTAAATAGATCCAAACATTGAGAGCAGACCTGACGAAACCAAATGATACTTAAGAGCATTTCTGATTCAAGTGAAACATGTGGTGAGTATGGTGCATCAAACGATTTATAATCCTTTGTTATTTGCATATTCCAGAACAATAGTGGGAGTCTGAACAGAGAATAGTAAATCATTTGACCAGATCAATGAAAAGAGAACCAAATACTTTTTTCTGGTGGTAGTAATGACCAATTGCTATGCAACTGATTGTGTTATAGTATATAGTTAATTGGCTAAAGTTCTTAAGAACACTGAAATAAGTGGACCAACATTTTGTGATCATATTTCAGTTATTTAATTGACCATGTAGTAATCTGATTGGCTAACCCGTAAATTCTATCTAGCTATCACTATAAGAATGAAATAGCTTTAAGTCAGACTGTTAAAGGCAAATATATGATCTCACATGTAAACTATAAAGAAAATAAATGAACAAACAAACAATTATAGAGAACTGATGGTTGCCAGAAGGGAGGGAGGTTGGGGAGCTGGTTGAAAAGGTGAAAGAATTAAGAAGTACAAATAGGTATTTACAAAATAATCACAGGGATGTAAAGTACAGCATAGAGAATATAGTCAACAATAGTGCAGCAACTATGAATAGTGCCAGGTGGGTACTAGACTAATCAGGGGGGTCACTACATAAGTTATATAAATGTCTAACCACTATACTGTACACCCGAAACTAATAAAAAAATAATATTGACAACTGTAATTGAAAATAATTAAATAAATAATAAATGAAATAGCTTATTAGTATGAGAAAATGTTTCCTACCAGAATAACAGAAATGATTATAAATGGTCAGGATATCAGTAGAATTGAATTTAGGCTCTTTCTGAAGTATGTCAGAATAATAAAAAGAAGATAAAAAAATATTAATCATTTAAAATTTTATTTTTATTCTTTGTCAGGACTGTTTTGCCACTTTCCCTCCTTATGCATGCAGTTTCAGAAGAAATTAATGAAATCCAACTCTCTTTTCAAAGTCACAGTGACTTCAAGAGTCTCAGTTTCCGGGACGTATAAAGCTTTGGCATTGTTACAGTCCACAGGATGGGGAAAGTTCAGCAACAGCTTCCTAAAAATCAAAACAAAGTCAAATGAAATAAAAACATAGAATCAACTTCCTAAAGTGATATTAAAAAGATATCACTTTCAATGAGGCAACAGAAAGCAATATATACCATCAGAATGTTACAAACCAAAAAACAATATTTAGATAGTGCAAGTACTGAATCAAAAGTATGCTTAAATAACACAAATAGTATACTAGTTTTTTGGCCTTAAAAATCCAAGTAGTGGTTTTGACTCCCCCTCTTTTTATCTAAACTGACCTCATTTTTCATTATAATAACATAGTCTCAGGCTCTGTTTATAGGCATAGAAAGAGAATCATTGCAACTTTAAGTTGGTTGGATAGATCTGTTGCCAGTCATACTTATGTGTAGATGGAATGTGGCTGGCTGATACAAATCTGAAAATTAGAATGGTTCTATAAGAATCTAACACAACTTGAGGCTGAGTCTCTACTGCAGGTGTAGTTATTGAAACTCAGCCTGAAATGATTTCAATACCAGATCAGTGAGAGTGCTTGTCTTTGCTTGCTTCTGGTTCTTTCTACTATACATTGACAAAAATTCCCTGTGAGAGATTATTGTTTACTTTGCAGTTGATGATTCAGTTGCTGGATAGCTGAACACTTTGGATGCATTGCTGAGATGTGACATCCATAATTCTGTCATAGTGTTATGAATCTGAATTATGCATGGGGTAGGCACATGCTGGTATCTGAAGAAAATTAAATGCATGAAACACTTGTTACCTCACATTCTTGACAGAGAAGGCTTGAGCACCTCTATAAAAAGGGATAACTATGTATAGTACCAGGTGGATACTAGACTAATCAGGAGGATCACTTCATAAATTATATAAATGTCTAACACTATGATATTCACTTGAAACTAATATAAAATAATATTCAATGTCAACTCTAATTGAAAAATAAGTGGACAGAAAAGCTCTGTTAGAAAGTATAAGATCCAAATCAGTAAAGGAATCTGGTATTTATTAGAAGTACTTATCGAATACTTGTATAAAGAACTAATATTTGAAAACAAAACCATTGAAAATCACTTGCCTCTTTACTCATTTGCAAAGACCTAAGTTCAGGACACTGGACTCATTAAAAGTATTTATCACACGTTTGTGCAACCTGAAGTAGAAATTTTCTATGACTCTTATTCCATTCCAAGTTTTTGGGGTAGAAGAAACAGCTCCCTCCACATTAAGTAATGAAATCACAATGATTTTTAATGTAGCTCTTGATATTTGACATCTCAAGAAAAGTAGGTGCAGAAATATTTAGAGTCCATCTTTCTAAAGTTGTTAGCGGTATAGGTTGTGCTAGAGCTAAATTTGCTCTATTCCTTATTCTACAGATGATAACATATTCACTATAAAAAGAAAGCAAAGCTCAGTGCAGTGGTAGCTTCACTGCACTATAAATCAACTGAAGGAGTTCCAATGATAATGTGCATTTCTCTGTCCAGAGAGAAATAAATTCAAAAGAGACCGTGGCCATTGGAATGATCCATCTATCCCTGTATCTCTGTCTAGTCTTTAGTAGAATTACTTCACATATTAAAATTTTTAACAATACAAATTGTGCAACTTATTTAGGGTCTTAGAAGAAGGAAAGTATTTTTGTCTACTCTGTTTTACTGTCCGATCTCTGAACTTAGATTTACATTTAAACAAAATAAAATTCTACAAATACTTAACCATGTACAATTCATTGAAGAACAAGATTTTATCTTATCTTGGTGCCCCGCCCCAGTGTTAGCGAAAGACTTTATAAATGTTTGCTGAATGAATAAATAAATGAACAAAAAGAAAATCTGTCACCACAAAAGATATTTGAACAACTACTATAGATTAGTACTATAAAATATGAACATTTAAACCCAAATTCCTCTGCCTTTACATTGATAATATATTTGCTTTTAAGATGTTACAGTTTAGGCACTGATCAAATGTTTATCCAGTGCCAATTTTCATTATAAATTATTTAAATATAAACAATAATGCATGAAAGTAAAAAAGTTATCTATATAGTGAATTCTAGTTTAGAGACTTACATGCTTACATTTATATTAGAGAATTCAAGTTGATGTTGCTTGTAAGAAATTTAAATAAAGGACAACCTTGCTGTGTGTATATTCATGTAATGCAGTTTTAATTTTATGGAGTTAATAAGTGATTTGATTTACACATCTGGGTTAAAAAACAGACATGGCCTTTTTAGGGCTTCCTATTGGAGACATAGCTAATTTCAAAGAAAATGCAGAAATAACTACTGAGCTGTAATTTACTATTCCATTTAGAAAACGTTTTTTAGGTATCAATGTCATTGAACATCAGTCAACTTGAAATTAATCTAAATTAAAGGAGCACAGCAAAGGTTAGAATGTGTTTTTATTATCACAGTAAAATAATTCATTTATGATATTCTTATAATTCACTTTGAAAAATAATGATACTTCATATGAAGACAAAAGTCAGGAGATTCTGAAAAATTATCCAATTTTCCGTCTTTTCTCCTTTCCGTCTACTTCATATTGGGAATCTACATGCCAAAACAACCAATTTCTAAAAAATGAAGAATTCAGCAAACTGCCTTTTCTCTTTAGGTTGTATAATGCCAAATATCTGGGTATTATTATTAACTACAATGCAGTTGATTATCGTTTGATATTATTTATTAGTCAATTCTGTGAAAATGAACAAAAATATATATATTAACAGAATGTCCTCTCTTATCTTTCTTGAAGCAGATAAACATAGTTTTACAGGGTGTCACAATTAGAAACTATAAGACATGTTTCCAATAATACAATTTCAGATAATAGCGTGGCTCCAAAGAATGCTCAAGTGTTTAGAAAAAGAGATTTTAGAAAAACCTTAATTCTATCTTCTGTCTTCTATCTTAATTAATGTTTTATTTTTCTTAAGAGACAGTACCTCTCTGCACTGAGCATTTAATATAGAAGTACAGTATGATAAAAATCACCTAGTGAAGCTCACATTCTATATAGAAAAGTATCTCTGTATGACTCTCATTTAGTGGGCTCTGACTGATATCTGGAATGACAGCATACTCAGAGCAGCTGCCTAAAGATTGATGGAGACAGTGAGAATTGCTAGGGGAACGGAAATTAACTCCACGGTGTATAGATATGTGTGTGCTTTTAACAAGCACACAAATATCATGGAAGATTGATTGTCCACTTAACCAACTTTCCTTGTGAAGTTTGGGTAGAAGAATAAATGTGTATATAATATGCAATGAAAAAATTTCAGTACTCCTGGAAGTGAATAGTAAAAATAGTGGAAGTAATTTTTATAATATGAAACAAATTTTGTGAGAATACATTTTTGAAATTACTATATAAGTAATGAGAACATATTTGATATATATTCATCTGTAGATCATTTTGAGTTAAATGCATCTACTACAGAAATCAAAGTTAAGCTATGTATGTACATTGGGTTGTTTACACATAAAAGTTTTTTGTATGAGTGATCTACTTTTTATTTTTTTTGAAGTCATAAGATCAACCAAGGAGAATTATAGGTACTGATAATGGAAGGAAGAATGCGCTAGCAGCAAACTGCTCCCCACACGCAGTTTGAAATGATGTTACAGAGAAAGAACCACTACAATCAACGAAAGTGCACTCACTCCTATACATCCAGATGAAATGCGAATAAAGCAGTGAGTTAGATATTTTATCTAGCACACACCAGGTTCCATTGATTCTCTCTTTATAGAGTTAGTTTTGAGAGACAAGACTGATTTATCCACGTTTCAGTATAAACATTTTATATCAATTTTACTGTATATACTGTGTTTTGGGGACATGATTTGAACCTATGTAAAAACAAGGCTATTTTGAAAATATCAAAGTGTTTAATTGAATCATTCCATTATTCTCTGAATTATTTTAAAATGTATCCATGCAACTTGAGGATTGAGTAATAAATTATCTGTTAAATATTTTAAGTAATTGATGACAAGAGTTTTTTGTTGATTTTTAGATGATTATAAACAAATTTAACCTTAGAGCCCCCACCACATCCAAAAAGTTTAAAGATATTGCTTCACTTATGCCATCACTGTACAAAAAAGAAAAGAAAAGAAAAAACCAGCAAGACTTACAGCCGAAGGGATTTTCATTTCTAGCTATTTTTCCTGACAGATAAACCAATTGTATCTGAATGTCAAAGACTGTGTTTTGGTGGTATCAACCTTCTCCAAATGTACGAATGCACAGTAGAAAAAAAAATCTAGATATTTCCAAATATATTTATGTTTATATTATGTAGATCAAAGATCTGAATGATTAACTGACTTTTTCACTTTTCTTCAGACTTTAGGGGTGATGTAAAATAACTATGTACACTTTAAATAAGAATATTGACTAAAGATTCATTAATATTATAATACATTATTCTAGTTCTAAATTTTACTCACTTATTAGGAGTACGAAGGTCAAGGATCATTTCCTGGATATCAATTTTAATTTCAGAAGGGTTTGTATTTGGCAGTTTAATTTTAACCTGAAAGAGAAAATCAGAAGAAAAATGCAATTGTCTTGAAGAACCATTAATTTGAACGGTACAAGAAAATATGGGGAAATAAGAACTAATATAAAATGAGAACTTAGTAGTGCCAACTATGTTCCAGGCTATGCCCTTTCCTCACAACAATCTTGAGAAGCAGGGATTATTACCCCTCTTTTACAGATGGAGAAACTGAGATACAGTGAAGTTTAGTGAGTAGCCCAAGGTCTACCTGACTAATCTGTATGTAATTTGACTGAGGTCTATTGATTCCAAAGCTATAGAGAAACACTTTGGTTACTTGCCTCTAATTTTCATTGTCTGAAGGTACATAATAATACAGCTGCTAGAGTTGAGGATCTTCAACTGCCTTTATATCAGTGGGCCTTTTGTATAAAAAAACGGTTAGTTCTCATGTTAGGTGTGGGTTGATGATGCCATCTGGTAGCCTCCTGATATAAACTCCCAGACCACAATTCCCAGAGAAGTGTAGAAGTCCAGAAAAGTTTTTAATGTAACAAAAGAGAAATATAATATGACCCTACAAATAAATTCAGACTATTTATTGGTTTGCTAAGATTTCATTTAAAAATGCCTCATCTCAATTACCACGTGACCCAGCAATTCCACTCCTGGGTATATATCCAAGAGCATTAAAAGCAGGTATTCAAAAAAAATGTATATAATGTTTTTATTCATAGCAGCAGTATTCATTCATAATAGCCAAAAGGTGCAAACAACCCAAATGTGTATCAACTGATGAATATTGATAACCCAAATGTGATATATCCATACAATGGAATATTATTCAGCCATTAAAAAGAATAAAGTACTATTACATGAATGGACCTTGAAAACATTAAGTTAAGTGAAAGAAGCCAGGCACAAAAAGCCATCTATTATAGGATTCTCTTTATATGAAATATCCAGAATAGGCAAACCCATAGAGATTGAATGCAGACTGGTGGTTGCCAGAGGCTGGAGAGGGAGAAGAGTGACGATTTAATGAGTATGGATTTCCTTTTGGGTTGATGAAAATGTTCTGGAATTATATATTGGTGATGTTTGCACAACATTGTGAATGTACTAAATGTCACTAATGATAAATTTTATGTGTATTTTGTCACAATACAAAGTCTCATTTCCCAATCTAAATTTAATTATTTTTTATAGAAGTCGGTTCTGTCTATCTATCTATCTATCTATATCTAACTATCTATGATAACATGACATATCGCTTCAAAAACAAACAAACAAAAAAACAACCTAAGGTTAAGGAAAACTATGAAGCTATATGTAAAATGAGCTAAAAGACTTGAAATATTGGACATTTGGTGATTTCAGAGCTGGAATGACAAGGATAAAGACCATAGGTTATAAGGGAAATGCATATCAAATAAGTGATGGGAAAACGGAATTTCTTGTAAGACACTTAAAGTAGACAATAGTATTTTTGCGATATAAAGGATATGGACCAATACATGTCTGTGAGTTATAGCTTACTTTATTAATTCTATATATAAAAGTTATTTGCCAATAGAGCTCTAGAGGTCCTACTATCTAAATATATCCTATAGTTAATATTTTCATTAAACAAAAAATACAAAAAGCCACCTATTGTAGGATTCTTTTTATATGAAATATCCAGAATAGGCAAACTCATAGAAATTGAAGGCAGACTGGTGGTTGCCAGAGGCTGGAGAGGGAGAAGAGTGACTATTTAATAATTACTTCTTGATTTATATTTGGAAAATTCAAATCTTCATAATTAGAGATGCTTTAAGTGAGAGAAATAGAACATTTCTCAAAGAGGTAGTTGTAGACACTCTATCTCAAAGTAAATGAACATTCTATAGGACAAAGATAGACCAATTTTTACTGTAATAATATTCAGATCTGACAGTCGAGTTGAGATGTTCTTTAGTTGCAGGATGACTCATGTCACCTGGACCAAGGGATACAAATATTTGTTTCTTTAGTCTGAAATGTTTAGATCTTTCAAGGGAAGATTATTTCCCCAGAGTTTGAAATGGCATTTGAGGGAGGAAAAAAATTATGACTTCTGTGAAATTTAAATACAACTTTTGGGTAGAATTTTAAAGTGATTCTTGAAATAATTTCCAACTCTAGTGAGGGGGAATTCAGAAACAACTAATTAGTCCTCTCGAGGAAATTAAAATTGTATACTAAAATGGTTTCAGATGAGAAACAGGAGAAAGAACAAATTAAGTGGAATGGTACACATTAATATCTCATAAGACAGAAAGTTCACTGAAGAATCTTAACGGAAAAACTCTTGAAACACGAATCAGACTTCTTTAGAGATACTTGTAATGAACGCCTGGAAAATAGACTTGATTATGTATTGACTTCTGATTTTACCCAAGACCTAACTTGTCCAACGTTAGTAAATACAGTATGTCATTGACCAAGCAATTAAAGGGATTGACATTCCTCTCTTTAGATAGGATACAAATTAAATTTATTTCAAAAAATAAATTATTTTAATAGGTAAACTAAGAAAAAATGCTAATAATTTCATGGAGAAACTTGCAACCTTTGGGGAGCTCAACTTTTGGAGTCAAACTTGGGTTTGATTCTGGTTCTGTCACTTATAAGTTATTTATTGTTTATTAGTTATCTATTGTTGCATAACCAAAACAAATCACACACCCCCAATTTATGACTGAAAACAGCAATAAACATTTATTGTCTCACACATTTTCCATGAGTAAGAATTTGGGAGTAGTTTATCTAGGTAGTTCTGACTTAGAGTGTATCATGAGATTGTAGTCAAGATATTGGCTGGGGCTGGAGACATCTGAAGATTTTATCAGGGCTAGAGGTTCTGCATCTAAGATGGCTCATTCACATGGCTGTTGGCAGAAGGCCTCAGTTCTTCACAACATGGACTTCTCCATAGCACTTAAGGTCGCTTTAGTGTCCTTATGACACAACAGCTGTCTTCTTCCCAGAATAAGTGATCCAAAAGAGCAAGGCAGAGGCAATGTCATTCTTTCACATAGCCTCAAAAAGTGTATTCTTGATTATAAGTAATTGAAAAAAGAAATTGAAGAAGATACAAATAAATGGAAGCATATACCGTGCTCATGGATAAGAAGAATCAACATCGTTAAAATGGTCATACTACTCAAAGCAATCTATAGATTCAATGCAATCCCTATCAAAATACCAATGGCATTTTTCAGAGAGCTGGAACAAATAATCCTAAAATGTATATGGAACCGTAAAAGACCTTGACTAGCCACAGCAATCTTGAGAAAGAAGAACGAAGT